GCAGTTATGGTGCAGTAACGATGTAGCGGTGTGTGAGTGCAGTTATGATGCAGTAACGATGTAGCAGTGTGTGAGTGCAGTTACGGTGCAGTAACAATGTAGCAATGTGTGAGTGCAGTTACGGCACAGTAACGATGTAGCGGTGTGTGAGTGCAGTTATGGCGCAGTAACATTGTAGTGGTGTGACAGTGCCATTATGGTGCAGTTGTCTGTGAGTCCTCTTACCTTTTGTACCAGTTGGGCCTGGGAATCCGATGCCAGGGAGACCGGGATTACCTTTTGGCCCTGTAGCTCCTTGTAAACCCGGGCTCCCTGGAAGGCCAGGGTCACCTGTTGGACAGACAGACATGAAACATTCTCATATCAAATCTCTGCACGGTGAAAATTCACAAGGAGCAATATCAGAATTTGATCGACGAACAAGATCGCTATTTCTGGTGCTTTGCGGGGAGATAGGCAAACATACCTCTGTTCCCAGGCTCGCCTTTTAATCCTTGTGGCCCAGGGACACCCGGGGCTCCTGGTTTACTGACAGAACTCCCTGCTTCACCCTTCTGACCTGTTCCAAGAAAACAGAACAATGAGCTTTTCTGATGAAGGGTCTAGGCCCGAGACGTCAGCCTCTCTGCTCCTATGATGCTGCTTGGCCTGCTGTGTTCGTCCAGCCCTGCACCTTGTTGTCTCGGATTCTCCAGCATCTGCAGTTCCTACTATCCCAGAACAATGAGTGGCACTGATTTGGAAGAAAAATATACTCTAGTAGATTTATTTATGATTATCAATTGAGATGTTGGTGCTGGCTTATTTTTCTGGGTTCCAATGATCAATAGTTACATTCTGATGTTGTGCCGAGAACGTGTAACCACTGGAATATGGAGATAATCCTTTACAAAGGATCAGTCTGGTCTTCCCCACTCTCCTGCTTGCAGCCTTTCATCTCTATTCTGCTTGTATGTGAAAATGTGAAAAGGTACGAGAAGGAGACCAGTCAGAACGTCAAACTAATCTGATGAATGCTGCACATACCATCAGCCACACCCCTCAACACTCTTGTTCCTTCTACCCTAATCTCCAGACAGAGGGAGAGAGCGAGAAAGACCTCAGGGTTACCTTTCTGAGTCGGCCATTTTAAGCACCCTAAACCAGTGTTCAAATGGAGCTCCCACTGAACAGGTTAAATGTTTTTATGCTTCTCCCATTGCTTGCAGGGACCATCTCTTGTCACTTATTGACAGAGTCAGGGGAATATTTATGTCCCCGCTGATCCATTGATATTCCCTTCACACGATACGTTACTAAACGCAGCTACTTGCCAATGGCCAATTAATAGTCTAACAGTGGGGTGAAAATTGAGAATCGAGGATTCCCTTCCTGCAGGATGTCCCATTTGTGAAGGGGGCAGGGTCACGGAGAATCTACTCTTGCATGTCTCAGTGAATCCACATTGTACTGCAGCCGTGTAGGGAGAATAGCATCAGACTGGAACTTACCTGGAGCACCAGATATTCCTGGCCGTCCGGGAAATCCACGGTCACCCTTTTCTCCTGGAAAACCTGGCTGCCCGACTCCTGGGAGTCCAGGAGAACCCTGATCTCCTGGTGTTCCAGTTAAACCGGGGGGTCCTGGCAAACCCTTCTCCCCTTTGAAGCCGATGTTTCCCTAGTCAGTTTGAGATGAGAATTAAAAAGCTGAATAACTTGAGGTATTCATGTATACCCACTAGCAACCTACCATTCATCCCATCATCCATCAGTACAATCCATTCAGTGCTCATCTTGTTCTTGAGGAAGTGTTTCACACTGTCTCTGGAGACACAAGCCCTGGGCACCGGACTGAGCTGTAAAATTTCCCCCAGATCAGGCCTTTCAACAGAGCTGGTAGCTGCCAAAGCTTGTCATTTCAAATAATCAACAAATAAACATACCCCACACTGAGGGAGCCAGCTGTGGCAAAGATTTATCCAATTTGTCCCACTGCCTCGCTCTGTGAATCAGAAATAAATCCTCAACATGAAACACAATATTGGAGGCAGAGAAGGGCTACAGAGCAATATTGATAAACTCTCAATGTCTGTGTTTGAGACATTCCCTGCCTGTACTGGTCTGTGTTGGGGGGAGATCAGGCTCTCTCTGACAGAGGTCAGTCTCACCTTAGGGTGGTCATTCTCTTTATCAGAGAGGCAATCTTTCTCCTGGGATAGTCTCTCTCCCTCTTGATGAGGGAGCGTGCAGGTGTTCAATCTCTCTGGGTGGGGGCACTGGTGGTTTTGCAGTTGGTAGGCTCTCCCTCTCTCCCCTCCTCTCTCGTTCTCTCTCAGGGTGTCTCCTGTGGGGCTGTGTTGGGTTTTACCGTAAATTGGTGGGATTGTCAGTCTCAGGGTTAGGGAGGGTCAGTCTCAGGGTTAGGGACGGTCAGTCTCAGGGTTAGGGACGGTCAGTCTCAGGGTTAGGGA